GATTAAGAGAATTACTTACACACAGAGGGCCCCTCTGGGGGCTCCTGAAGGCCATCCCAAGCTCTGCTTCTCTCGGGCCTTCCTCCTCTTGACCTCGCAAACTCACCAAGCATCCTGTGTGATTCTACAGTCCGTTTTTCCTTTGGGACAGAGCGGAGCGCACTGAAGAATTTCAATATTCGGCTTTGCTAGGTAGCAGACTGTACCAAGGCCGCTCAGCGAGTCCTGTCGGCCCGCAGCCCTGACCTCCTCCCCTCAGCCCCCTTTCTCGGCCTTGCTGAAATTGTCCTGAGCCCATCTGCAATCAGCGAAGCGTCAGTTTCATGCTCCCCTAAGAACGATTGCCACCCCCTGTTGAATCATGGCCCAGACGTCCTAAACTGTCATCATGCCCCTGCTGAGTGGGCGTACTTTTCTGACTACGCTTCTGTTGGGAAACATGCAGACTCACCCTCCGAGGTGAATCTCCGGTTCCTGGAGCGGCACGTCGTGCCTTCGGGTAAAGACGTTTCTTAGAGTTATGAAAGGTCAGAGGTAGACATCTCATTCAGCTCCCGCTCTCCCCTGCTTTATTCTCCCATCAGTTCACAAACACAGAAACTGAGGCTCAGAGAGGCTAAATGACATCCAAGGGTTGAGGATGACAGAACACGTACTGGGTTCCAGCCCGGCTCCCTACCATTACACAGTACTGCCTTTACACACACTCTCTCTCTCTCTCTCTCTCTCTCTCTTCTACCTTATTTCAAAGACCACAGAAGGTCGATGATGATGATGTTAAGTAATGTGAAAAGTCTTTTCAAAAATTGCCCTTTCTGGCTTCCTCAGAGGAAGCTTCCGGCAGGAGGCTTAGGCATTATTACTTGACTCCGTTGTACTCCACAGTTTGGTTATCTTCAAGTGGGAAAATGCACCTGACCTTTCCTATCTCAGAGGAATGTTGTGAAAATAAAATACGAACTAATGAGTTGGATTTTCCCAAGTGCTTGAGTCATTCCAAGGATCGTGCATTTTGTATAAATTGTGTTTTCTCTTCCGATTTTCTGCTTGTCTAGGTCGTTCGGTGAACTTGATTCCCTGTCTTTTTACATTCACAGTGATTATAAAAGGTACATTCTTAACTGTGACAAGTATCTGTTCCTAACTTCACTGATTATTTGAAACTGAAGAGCCTTAAAAAAAAATCCTTACACATAGCGGAAGTAGGCACTGTAGGTTGGGACCACTCACGTGATTATTGAAAAACTGAGTTGAGGCAGAATTAAGATTAGAATTTGTGAAGTGTTATGACCAGGATTAGGACGTGGGCAGTATGCTCATACAGAGTCTATAATAAATGCTTGTCAATATATTTGAAACTGAAGGGGAAGACAAAGAATTTGCAAGGAGGTAGCGTCTGAGCTAAGGAGGTGCTGCTCATTGGATGAAGCATTTCCAGCCCTTTGGAAATTCAGATGCTGCCTTGTACATATCATAATGAAACACTCCTTTAATGAATTAATACAGTGGATGCAATCATTCTTCATCTTCACCGTAAAGCCTCCCATTTTAATCAAAGCAGAGTTGCACAGAATATAACGGGAAAGGTGTTCATGCAGGTAAGTGTGTAATGACTTTACGCACTAAGAACACACAAAACACGTCATAGCCACCGTTCAGTGGACCCTTGATTGTCCCACGGGCGGCAGACCTGCTGTGAGCAGCCCCATCTGCTTCAGATGCCCCACCCCACGCCTGCTGGGTCCCAGGATCCCAGGTGATTTGGTTGCTCCTTAAAGTTTGAGAAGCACTTAGTGTGCAGCTTTCAATTGTATTGTCTTCCCCATGGCCTCTGTAACACCTAGGAAAGCGATCTGTAAATATGCTGCCTTAATTCTGTCGTTTGCAGAACACAGGTGCCCTTTACTATATACCCCACCCCCTTCCTGAAAGGAGTTATTTGGAATAATTTTCTGCAGGTTAACGTGTGGGAGGAAAATGTGAGACCATTAGCCAGTATCAATGACTGCTTTTTTTTTTTTTTTTTTTTT